TGTATCCAAAATGTGTTTATTGGGATGGTTTCCCACTCATCTTGATTTGAGGTGCTTTTAGTGCTGCTTCCTTCTGAAGGAGCATCCTGGAAGAAAAATGTTCCTAAGTTAACTGACAGCCCACTTATCCCGCCCCACACTCACAGGCCTGAGGCCTGATGTCCCGCCCACAGGAAAGCCCCTTTTATCACCTACACATCATCCTAGCTTTAGACAGTAGCATTTTGAGATTAAGATTCAAAGCCCCAAATTATATTTGTTAAAGCATTTACCTTCTGTGAGCCTTGCTTTTCCTCCTGTTGGCTGACAGAGAACAGTGGAGCAACCAACACACAAAACTACCGTTTGTGCATGGCTAAAGACGGTGGTGATTTTATAGCATCCTGGAAAAAATCAAGAAGGGGTTACATTTTTCCCATGCCCTTCTTCACTTACACATAAACTAGGTTATTTGTAAACTTTGAAATTTACTATCCTATTGGAAACTTGATTACCTGGGTCTAGGTACACATTAATGTGAACTCAGAAGCAATACGGACTACCTGCCCCACCTATGGGTTTTTGGATAATGTGTGACTATCATCCTAGACTCAGCCTGAAAGGGAAAGGAGTGGAATCAACAATCCACAGCTCAAAAAACAGACTCCTCCACTTTGGAGGGAAGGATGGTCAGTAATGGGTCAACGCACCCACCCCGCTCCTCCAGAAACAAGTACATCAAGGACCAAGGCAGAAGCACGACACATCACCCGGTTTCTTAGCACAAGGAAATGGTAGGGTCGGTACGTGGAGTTTTGATGGGAAATCACTCTTGATCACTCCTAACGTAGAGAATTTTACCCATCTCGCACATTCAAGTTCTAAGAAATGGGGCCGCTTCATGGACACGGTACAGCTCACACCACACCTTTTTCCGTTCCCGGGTCCAGTGCGTTCCCGACTGCCGCACGCCAGCTGCTCACCTGGGCATTTGACATCCATGAAGTAGGAATTGGGGCTCTGCACCAGGCGCTTCTTCTTGTGTTTCCTCTTCTCCTCTTCCGGAGAGGGATGGAGGAGATCCTTAGCGAGCTACGAGGCAGAGATGCAGAAAGTTAGAAACCCACGGCGTAGAGGGGAGGATCGGGAACAGCCCCCGCTGCCACACACCGGGGAGAGCTCGCCCCTCGCCGCGCCTGGTGTCTGCGCAGCCGGGCCGCCATCTTATCTCCGCTCCGCTGCCGTCTCGGCAGGGCCCCGCGGGCCTCCGCGGGCCCCGAGGTTAAGGTCCCGGGCGGCGCGGAGGGCCGGGGAGGGCCCTCTGCCGTCCCAGACCGGCGCGCGGGGCGCGTGCGGACGGAAGAGCGAGGTCTCCGCTGAAACCTGCACCCGGGCACTCACAGGCATATTGTCGTGGGGAGGTCGTCACCGCCGGAAAGGAGCGAAAGCGGAAGTCCGTCTCCTTATATCCGCCACCCGCCGGAAGTGACGCGTCGGTGTTCGGCGGCCATGTTGGGAAGGTCCGTCTGTCAGCATTGTCCGCGGCGGGGCGAGAGGAGGGCGCCATCTTCGGAAGGTCAGACGCGCCTCGGGCTGAGAGTTAGCTTTCTAGTGTGTGAAGCGAGCGCTCCGCCTGGGCCGGTGTGGCGCCGCGGGTTGACTTCTGTTCCGTTCGACCCCTGTTGTCAGCCACATGCCCGGGCTTCGAGATCAAGTCGCCATCAATGGAAAAAAGTCATTCTAAAAATTTTTTCAAGGCAAGCCCTTTATCAAGGGATAAATGGACAATGAAAATTTCTTGATAACTTTGACAGTTGGAGCCTAAAAATAGGAATTTCTTAGGAAAACAACAACCAGATCAAGCTATGTCTGGACTTATTAAATTTCTTTATTACTTTTCTATTGGTTTCGTTTGCCCACTTTAAACAATTCAGAAATGTAAATATAAAAAAAGTAAAGGCCTTTCCTGGCCGGGTGTTGTTCAGTGGTTGGGCGTTGACCTTTGAGCCAGGAGGTCACGGTTCGATTCCTGGTCCCGGCACATGCCCAAATTTCAGCCTCCATCCCCAGTAGGACTAATCGATGTTTCTCTTTTTCCTTCTCCCTTCCTCTTTCTCTCAAGTTATTTTTTTTTTTAAGTAAAGTTCACATATTTCCTCCATCCCCAACATACTCTTAGAGTTGTTAATTTTATTGTCAATTTTCCATCCTTACCTCTAATAATAATTACATCAAACACATAATGCTTACTAGATGCATTGTTCTGCTTTATATATGTTAATCTTCATAACAACTCTTATCAGGTTGATACTATTATTATACACATGTTACTGATTAAGAAAGTGATGCACAAAGAAATTGTCCAAAGTACTGCTCCACTGCCTTCCCAAAAGATTGTGCCATCTGCATCCCTACATCCTTTTCCCACATTTTCACCAGGAATGCCTTGCCAAGATTTCTAATCTTGGCATCACGGACACCCAGACAGGAAAGGAGAAGGAAGGAAAAATGAAGACTTTGAAACATCATCTTCCCATGTCCATTTGTCATAAGGGAGGAAGGAAGGTGACACAAATGGCATTTAGCGATATGCTTTTTCCCAAAGAAAAGGGATGTGAGTTTCAGTCAGGGAAGTGCTGGCAAAGTTTAACAGGTTCTGTGGAGGAGCGCCCTGATTTTGCTAATTTCAGTGGTGACATCATTACACATGGGGTTGCTAGAGCTATTCACAGAGCCTGTAAGAACTGGTTCCAGTATGTCAACTGTAATTGAAAAAAAAAATTTAAGTTATTAAAAAAAAGAAAGAAAGAAAGAAATGGTCGGTAAACTAAGTCTTAGGAAGCTGAAATATCAAGGACAAGGAGTCAACCATGCAATCATCTAGGAAGAAAGCATTTTAGGCTGAGGGAAGCGTTTGTGAATACAAAGACAGAATGAATCTGTCACAGCTGAAGGGAGAAAGGGATTGTTGCTGAAGCTCTGAGACTTAGGCAGAGAGTACTACAGAGATGAGGTTCCAATGAAAGCAGGTATACACCAGCATGAGTACATTTCATTTATTTTTAAAGATTTTTTATTTATTAAGTATATCTTATTGATTTTTTACAGAGAGGAAGAGAGAGGGATAGAGAGTTAGAAGCATCAATGAGAGAGAATCATCGCTCAGCTGCCTCTTGCACACCCCCTACCGGGGATGTGCCCTCAACCAAGGCACATGCCCTTGACCGGAATCAAACCTGGGACCTTTCAGTCCGCAGACCGAAGCTCTACCACTGAGACAAACTGGCTGCGGCTTTTTAAATTTATTTTTAGAGAAAGAGGAAGAGGGGTAGAGACAGAGAAACATCAATGATGAGAGAAAATCATTAATAGGCTGCCTCCTGCACACCCACTTCTGGGAATCTAGCCCACAGCACAACCTGGGAATCAGAGGGGGTGGGGGCCCTGTGGGCAGCGGTGACAACTTCTTTTTTCCTGGGTTGATGCTCAACCACTGAGCAACACTGGCCAGGCAGCATGAGTACATTTTAGAGAAGTGAGCAAAAATAATAAACTGCAGGGGAGGAATAGTCCAGATCCAGGCAAAATAAGATGGGGTGGGGGGGGGGAAGGAACTGACTGATTATATTATCAGAACAATCTATGAAAATGGAACAGTAGCCAAAACCGGTTTGGCTCAGTGGTAGAGCATTGGTCTGCGAACTGAAAGGTCCCAGGTTCGATTCCGGTCAAGGACATGTACCTGAGTTGTGGGCACATCCCCAGTAGAAGGTGTGCAAGAGGCAGCTGGTCGATGTTTCTCTCTCATCGACATTTCTAGCTCTCTATATCTCTCCCTTCCTCTCTGTAAAAAAATCAATAAAATATATATTTTTAAAAATGGAACAGTAACTTAAAGGACTGTCTAGATGGTGTGGCTAAAGGACTAATGAGAGATGGTTTGACCAGTGAGGAGAAAAAAATAAAGAAGACTCGAGGTGTATGCTGCAGCTTGAAGACATACTGGAGGTGAGAGAATGGACAAAAAGGGAACTGAACAGTTAGTGTGTTTGAGAAGGGGCAGACAAGAGCACAGAAAGTGACCAAGATAAGTGAAGTAACAAAAGATGCCTTCTCACCACCGGTACACTGTGTTCATACAAGGACTGTGCTACTGGCCCGTGGTTGGAAAAGCAGATAATGCTGAGTAATTCTTTACAAAGGCAAAGATAAATTTGTTTCTTTATAGCCACCTTCTCCACACTTCAGCTTCCTGGTTGCCACGGCCACCCACATTCACAGCCCATCCAGTGGGGTAAGGGCTGTGTTAAGAGTCATATCTCATCAGAAGAACGAGACCAGGCGTTTGTTGTCCCAATCTCTAGCTTCCTGACCGGCTTATGAGAGAAATCACACACAGAATCCCAGGAGGAAGACTGTGCCCAGCGAAGCCCCAGAATGGGGGCTGGAAGAGAGACAGCGTTGAGATGGGGTGGGGCTCTGATGCTGTGGTATAACCACTGTTCATGTTCACTCTGTCCACCAGAGGGCAGACTGACCCAACAAATAGCCTACTGCCCGGCAATCCCGCTTTTTTCAAAAGCGGTTGGGATTCTAGATAGAACCAAGGGCTTGTAACAACACAGAATTCTAGAACTGCCCCGGGAGGATTCTGTTTCCTTGAATTAGCCCTCCCAAAAAAGAAGCCTCCAATCTTTGTCAGCTCCCAGCCCCATCCCTGTCTCCACCATTGTTCCCCAAAACTTTCTCTAAATTCCTCCAAAAGTCCTCTTTCCCCTGGCCATCCTGGTTAAACTTTCACTTCCCCTCGGCCCTGCCCCTCTGGCCTCAGACTGGAAGGAGGAGGTGGAAAGGCAGAGAGGAGAAGGCCAGTGAGTGGTGGGAGCGGGGAGGGAGGCAGGTGGGCCCAGGCGGGGAGGGGAAAGCTGGAGCAGAGGGCCGGTGGCCTCCCAGGCCGGCGAGCGCGGTGGGCGGGCAGGGGGTGGGGCCGCGAGGGGAGCCGCCTCTCTCTCCCGGAGCCTGGGCGGGGAGGGAGGAAAACTTCCTGGCCCCGGCTACCGGCGGCTCTTTTCCACCGGCCCTCCGAGCCCGCCTCCCGGTGCCCGGCGCTTCCCCTCCCCTCCCCCGGCTCCCTGAGTGTCCGCCATGGCCAAAGCCTACGACCACCTCTTCAAGTTGCTGCTGATCGGGGACTCGGGGGTGGGCAAGACTTGTCTGATCATTCGCTTTGCAGAGGACAACTTCAACAACACGTACATCTCCACCATCGGTGAGCCCACTGGCCATATCCCAGACCCCCGACTCCCCACACCCTCCTCCCCAGGCTCCCCAATGACGAGCGGCCCTACCTTTCAGTCCCTGAGTGTGGGGCTTCCAACACCCATGTCCTCAACCTCTGTTCCCGACCCATCCTCCATACATGTCTGGGGGGGGGGGGTACCCAAAATTCTAACTGGCCTGCCATCTCCAGGTAACTCCTCCGTGGTGCCAGCCCCTCACTTTCTTGGTGCCATTCTTCTCATCTCTCTAATCCACGTGGACCCTTCTCCGTTTCCTTCTCAGCTCCTCTTCTCCCCCATCCACCTGGAGCTCTTGACCCCACTCCCCACATTTCCTGATTCCCCCTTCCTGAACATCCGTCTCCCAGCTCTGCCAGCCTCTTTCTGTCCCACTGAGTTTCAGACTCTATTCCATTCCCACCTTATCATCATCCGCTTCTCAGTTTTCTTGCTCCTTGACTTAACGGGTGGGGAGGGTGAAACAGTGGCTGGGTGTGTAGAGAGAGTGGCCCAAGGACTGTGATCCTGCATGCGCAGTCGGCCTGGGGAAGGAGGTGGGAATGAGGGGACTTTTGGGGTCTCTGAGTCAGCCTGGTGACTCAGCCTCCTGCCTAGAGCTCCCAGCAGGCTTGGGGGAGGTGCCCAAGTTCCCACTGAGAACAGGGTTTCCCTCCTCCCCGCTCATCTTTCTTCATCTGCTGGGACATAAAACAAGCGGAGCCTCAAGACAATTCTGGTTAGCAAGGGGAAGGAAAAATGCCCCTTTTTCCTAGTTCAGTCTCAAGAGGGATCTTGTTTAGCTTCAGACTTTCTTTTTGTTCCAAGCCTGGCCTACTAGACAATTCACATAGACATAGACCTTTTCCTACTAGACAATTCACATAGACATAGGCCTTTTTCCTCCCTCTTTACCCTATAGGGCCGGCAACATTGGGGGAGGGGTACGGAGAGTAGAGGGTTCCAGGAAAACAGAAGGGAAAAGGAATCTGAAAGTAATATTTTGGGGGAGTCAGACTAGATTGAGACAGTTCAGCTGGCAAGGCTGAGTGGACCCAAGAGTTGCCTTACTGGCGGCCTTAAGCCTCCTTCACCACAAAATTCACAAATAGAGCCCATCCCCCTATTTGTAAAACAACAACATGCTCTCTAATTGAGGCATACAGACCGTTTTGAGGAAATTCTAGTGTTACACTTTGGACAAGGCTGCTTCCCGGGTGCCTCCACGGCAGACTCTGGCACTGCCACGCTCGGTTCCTGTCTAGCCCCCAACACACTTTTACGTGCCGTGCACACCTGTCTCCACTTCAATGTACGCTCTCGACCCCTAGGGATCGATTTCAAGATCCGCACCATGGATATAGATGGGAAGAAGATCAAACTGCAAGTCTGGTGAGTGAATGCCCAGGATTCCTAACCAGACTTCCTCATCTACCCCTGATAACGCCTTTTCTTCTACTTGGCTTCATTCCTCCCAGCACTTCTGATCATTTGTGTCACCTCGCTCAGTGGTCCTGCCATCTCTCTTCCTGCTTGCTCAGTTATTTTCAGCTTTTTGTAACTCTTCCTTCTCCCAGCTCCCGAGTATTCTGTTCTTGCCAACAAATGTCTGTTGATCTATATGATGTGGAAACAAGCTCTAAGCAGTTTAATAGCAAACAGCAGAATTAAGACTTGATTCTAAGTCTAGTGCTCTCTCTAAATATGGAGAGCGAGAGCATAGGATAGAAAACCTAGTAGATGTTTGACCTGACAGTCAGTCATAAGGAAGCTGGAAACCCTGAGGGTATGAAGCTTAATGGAAACATTATGATACAATAGATAAGAGCAAACTGGTTTAAATTCTCATTCTGTTACAGAATGACCTTCATTAGTTATTCAGCCTCCCAAATCTGTTACCTCCTTTGTAAAATAAGGACCATAAAGCATGCATCAGCTATAAGGATAGAGTTAAGATTAGACGAAATATGCACAGTACTTGGCACAGATTACGCATCCAATGAATAAACCAGAGAGATCTTGTTTCTTAGGCCTCTGCCATCTCTCAGTATCAGCCCATGTGTCTTTCATCCCTTTCCCCTTTTCCTGTTTCCTAATTCTGCTCCTTTCAGCCCCACCTGTGGAAGCTAAATTCTTGGCTGGTGGGGAGTATGGGGAATCTCTCTTTGGAGCGCCCTTCCCTCTCCTACCCCGTGAAATACTCTACCTCTTCAGGGACACCGCTGGCCAAGAACGATTCAAGACGATAACTACTGCCTATTACCGCGGAGCCATGGTACAAAGTGTGGGTCTGGACAAGGGGTGAGGGCATGAGGCAATGCAATGTAGGCTTATGAGTACAGAGAGGCAGGGAGTCGTGGGGGGTTGCAGAGGGTCCCACATGACTTAGTGATTTGACTCGTAGATAAAACGTGTAGGCTCACTTAGAGTACAACTTGGGGGGTGGAGGGAGGGGGAGTTACAGGGACTGGGGTCCAAGCCTCCTCTGTGAACTCTGCCATCTTCCAGGGCATTATCCTAGTCTACGACATCACAGATGAGAAATCCTTTGAGAATATTCAGAATTGGATGAAGAGCATCAAAGAGGTGAGGACCGTCCCAGAGAGACGGGGGAATCGGATAGAACTTAGAAGATGAAGTGGATTGTGAAGATGAGCTTGACCCAACTTTTCATGTCTTTACCCTTTTGCTCCCAGAATGCCTCAGCTGGGGTGGAGCGCCTCCTGCTGGGGAACAAGTGTGACATGGAGGCCAAGAGGAAGGTGCAGAAGGAGCAGGCCGAGAAGGTAAGTGTTGGAGACCGGGTTGGCCAATGTTCTAGAACTGCCGAGAGGCCGAGATGCGGTCACTTTGCAGAGGACTTGGCGACTACCCTTTATCCAACTCTCTTTTTCCCCCTTCATCCCCGACAGTTGGCTCGGGAGCACGGAATCCGGTTTTTTGAGACTAGTGCCAAGTCCAGTATGAATGTGGATGAGGTGAGACACCCCTCAGCCCCACCCCCAGAAGAGATGGACTATGGGAAGATAGACTCATGCTTCTCTCCAGTCTGTACTGACCAGTCTCCTTTCTCCTCAGGCTTTCAGTTCCCTGGCCCGGGACATCTTGCTCAAGTCAGGAAGCCGGAGATCGGTGAGTTGGTTCTGCTGGACTCAGTACACCCGGGGGTCGGGAGGCGGGTGGAGGAGTAAAAACCGAGGAGGGGAGCAGCGCTGAGACTTCCCATGAGGGTGGGTCCCCTTCCAACAGTTTATAGCCTCCGACCCCAGCCAGCCAGTCTCACCCTGATGTCTGTGCCCTTCTGCCTCTAGGGCACATGTGTCAAACACAAGGCCCGAGGGCCAAATTTGTCCCGCCAGGCCTTGCAATGTGGCCCGCACCGCGCTGTCATCACTGCACTCCTCTGCGTTTCCATCACAATGACAGTTTATGACTGTTCAGTAAACCATTCGGCCCGAGATTTAGGCTGGATTTTAGATTTTGGCCCCTTCTCTGATTGAGTTCGACACCCCTACTCTAGGGAAGCAAGTCCTCCGGCACTGACCTGAAGACCTCTGACAAGAAGAACACCAAGTGCTCCCTGAGCTGAGGACTCCTCGCTGCCTCCACACCCTAAGCCTAGAGGTTGAACCTGAGGGAAGCGGGCTGAGGGGCTGGATGGGGGAGAGATGGTAGGTGGTGCTTGGGGAAGTAAAGATGGGGAGATGGGGAGAGGGCAGGGAGAAAATGGAGAAGGGGAAACCAGGAAAACAAGAGAGGAAAGAGGAGGAGAAGGAGAATAGAGGGAAGAAGCTAGAAGGGAAAGAATTGAGGAAGTGAAAAAAATGTGCGAAAGAGGTAGGAAGAAAGGAAGGAGAAAAGGAAGTATAGACAGCCCCGGGGCCTCAGACCTTCCCTGGGTTTCCATGGCAAACACAGTGTAAATAAATAATTGATTCTGTTACTGGATCAGGCGTTAGGGTCCTGTGAGAGGCTGGCTTGGCACCACCCCTTGAACGTTTGGTCCTGTTCTGTCACTCTGCACGGTCTTTCTCAGTATTAAAGACCTCCATTTGCACAAATGTAGCTATTTTGGGTAACTTTCATCCTTGTCGGAATTGCTCTTTACTCATCAACCTGATTCCTACCTCTGAGGGCTTTGGGCTGCCTGCACCTGGCCGGGTTCCTGTGATGCCAGGATTAGACCCACAGCTATCTCTCTTCCCAGCTGTTTAATTGATGAGGAAACCAGCAAGAGCAAAGGTTCTCCGAATGGGAGGCTGTGCACATGCTCTCTCCGTTACGGGTGTAGAGAATCACGATGCACAGAGCCCTCTCCAGAAAATTGCAGGATCTTTTTTTTTTAAGGGCTCTTTTTGGGCCTCCCCTGGGGAGCGACAGCCCCCTGCCTCAGGGAAATGACAAGACCTAGTCTTGTTACCCAAGCAAGCATCTCTGATTCTGCCAGCGATCCCTTTAGGTAGCTGGCAGGCGTTATCTGCTTTAATAGATGAGGAAAGTGAGACACAAAACGGGTGCATGTATTCATAAATATTTATTGAGCATCTACTCTGTACCAAGCACAGTGGTCAAATTAACGTTCTGTTTGGGTAGTACTTACAAGTAAATTTTAACAGAAACAGCCCCGAACTACTGAATCCAAAGAGGCATGCAAAAAGAAGCACCACCAGCCTCTAGCCAGGTAGTTCTGTGGGTTGGAGGGTCATCCTGAGGCGCCAAGGCTGCGGATGCGATCCCCAGTCCGAGCACATATAAGTCAACCAGTGAATGCATGAATAGGTGGAACAACAAACCGATGTCTCTCTCTCAAATCAATCAATAACATTATTCTTAAAAGAGAGAAAACACCAAAAACCCAGGCTTGATACATAATGCCCTTAGTATATATAACCCTTTTTTAATGTTACACAATAGTTTAAAAAATATATATTTTTTCTGATTTCAGAGAGGAAGGGAGAGGGAGAGAGAGATAGAAATATCAATGATGAGAGAGAATCATTGACTGGCTGCCTCCTGCACGCCCCCTACTGGGGACTGAGCCCACAACTGGAGCATGTGCCCTTAACCAGAATTGAGCCCAGGACCTTTCAATCCTCAGGCTGATGCTCTATCCACTGAGCAAAACCAGCTAGGGCACACAATATTTTATTTAATTTTTCTTAAATATACTTTATTGATTTTTTTACAGAGAGGAAAGGAGAGAGATAGTTAGAAACATCAATGAGAGAGAAACATCGATCAGCTGCCTCCTGCACATCCCTCACTGAAGATGTCCCCGCAACCAAGGTACATCCCCTTGACCGGAATCGAACTTGGGACCCTTGAGTCCGCAGGCCAATGCTCTATCCACTGAGCCAAACTGGTTAGGGCCACAGTTGGTTTTCTTTAAACAGTGAAATTGTCTCACAGAATTGCTCTTTTATCAGGACAATTAAAATGTCAGATTTGGTTAGGACAAAATACTGTTAGAAGCTTTTTTATTCATGGATATGATGTTCAAAGTTTTTAAGAAATCCACAATCACACCCAGCCAGTGTGGCTCAATGGTTGAGCATCGACCTACGAACCAGGAGGTCATGGTTTGATTCCCAGCCAGGGCACAGACTGGGATTACAGACAGGTTCCATCCCCAGTTTGGGGCATGCAGGAGGCAGCGATCAATGATTCTCTCTCTCACCATTGATGTTTCTATTTTTCTCCCTTCCTCTCTGAAATGAATAAAAAATATTTAAAAAAAATAAATAACAAAGGAAATCCACAAGCCAGCAGTGGATGTACAATCTGGAGTCATCAGCAAAGCCTTCTTTGTGCAACTGTTTCTGCTGGTGAAAGACAACACTCAGAAAAGTCTGCCTTAGCCAGTTTGGTGGATAGAGCGTATGCCTGCAGACAGAAGGGTCTGTGGTTCGATTCCGGTAAATGGCAGATACCCTGCCTGCAGGCTCCTCCCTGGCCAGGGCCCTCCTGGGGGCACATGCAGGAGGCAATCAATTATTGTGTTTCTCTCACATCAGTATTCCCCTCTGTCTTTCCCTCTTTAAAAATCAATGAAAAAATATCCTTGGGGAGGATTAAAAAAGAAAAGAAAAAACTCTGATAGTACCGGGAGAAGAACTTAGAAATTAATTTGATAAATGTGTATAATAATTTGATAAATGTATTAAGTATCCAAGCTTCCATGGGGCAATGTCCTCTGTGGCTTATGTTTGAGCTTTGTTGTCAACTGCGAGCTAGTTTAATTTGCTCAAGGTTAAGGAAATCCTTGGCATTTTCAGAATCCCAGAAACACTGTTGATATCATCATATGTATTTTTTTAATTTAGTTTCCATGTAGAGACCTTATTGAGATGGTTGTTTTGGCTATTGGAAGTGAGATCTTACAGGATCTCACAGCTAGTTGTGAAACATGATAGGAAATGGGTAAAGAATAACAATACTAGACTTCAGCAAAAACTTTCATTATAGCTAAAAACTACTGGGGGGGGGGGAACCCACACTCTACCTTCTGTAACATATGACTATTGACACATACAAATAACATAACGGAAAAATAATCACAAATTAAAGCTCAGCCCTCACCAGGTTTTATTTGTTTTTGTGTGGTGTGTTTTTCCAACTCTCATCCAATGATCTTTCCATAGTCTGATAGTTCCTGCTCTTGAGAAGCCAGCTTTAAGTCTGACGGGAAGACAACATTTATGGGATGTAGCATCATAGATACTGTTCATTCCAAAATAAAGTGTTCGCCTTTAGGGCTGTGGGGGAGGGGAGCAGCTGTGGTCACTCAGCTAGAAAGACTTGTTGGGGAAGGAGAATGTAGAGCAGAGTTAACAAGGAAAAAAAGTATGGAAACAAGCCTTTTTTTTTTTTTTTTAATCTTTTTTGTTGAAGGTTATATATATTTCCCCTTCCCTCTCCCCATTGACCTCTTCCTCCCTGGCCCCCTCAGGCCTTCACCACCCTATTGTCTGTGTTCTTGGGTTATGTATCTATGCATACAAGTTTTTGGGTTGATCTTTTTCCACCCACCCCCACCTTCCCTCTGAGATTCCAGTCTGTTCCATGCTTCTATGTCTGAATCTATTTTGTTCATCAGGGTTTGTTTTTGTTTTTGTTTTTGTTATATTCCACATATGAATTGAGATCATGTGATACTTGCCTTTCTCTGACTGGCTTATTTTGCTTAGCGTAATACTCTCCAGGTCCCTCCATACTGTCTCAACGGGTAAGAGATCCCTCTTTTTTACTGCTGAATGGTATTCCATGGTGTAAATGTACCACAACTTCTTTTATCCATTCATCTACTAAGATACGGGCTGTTTCCATATTTTAGCTATTGTATATTGTGCTGCTATGAACATAGGAGTGCATACATTTTTTTCCAGTTGGTGTTTTGGGTTTCTTAGGATATAGTCCTAGAATTGGGGCTACTGGGTCAAATGGCAGTGTCATATTTAATTTTTTGAAGGGAACTGCATACTGTTTTCCATAATGGCTGCACCAGTCTGCATTGCCACCAGCAGTGTACTACGAGGGTTCCCTTTTCTCCACATCCTCCCCAGCACTTGTCATTTGTTGATTTGTTTTCTTGTCAATCCTCATCTGAGGATAAGTTTCCATTGATATTTTTTTTAAGATTCATTTATTTATTTTTATTGATTTTAGAGAGGAAGGGAGAGGGAGAGAAAGAAATATCAAGGATGAGAGAAAAATCATGAGTCAGCTGCCTCCTGAACACCTCCTACTGGCCTACTGAGGATTGAGCCTGAAACCTGGGCATGTGCCCTTGACTGGAAATTGAACCTGGGACCCTTTAGTCTACAGGCCAATGCTCTATTCACTGAGCCAAAACAGCTAGGGCAATTTGTTGATTTGTTGATCACAGCCATTCTAACCAGTGTGTGGTGATGCCTCATTGTCATTTTAAGTTGCATCTCTCTGATGATTGGTGACTTTGAACATTTTTTTATAGGTCTCTTGGCCATTTGTATGTTCATTTCGGATAAGTGTTTATGTAGATCCTTTGCCCATTTTTTTAAACATATATATTTTTATTGATTTCAGAGAGGGAGGGAGAGGGAAACATAGAAACATCAATGATGAGAGAATCATTGTTCACCTACCTCCTGCACACCCCTACAAGCCTACAACTTGGGTATGTGTCCTGACCAGGAATGAAATAGTGATCTCCTGGTTTAAAGGTTAACGCTCAACCATTGAGCCAGGTCAGCTGGGAATATATATATATTTTAAATATATTTTATTGATTTTTTACAGAGAGGAAGGGAGAAGGATAGAGAGCTAGAAACATCGATGAGAGAAACATCGATCAGCTGCCTCCTGCACACCCTCCACCAGGGATGTGATCGCAACCAAGGTACATGCCCTTGACCGGAATTGAACCCTGGGCCTCTCAGTCCGCAGGCCAATGCTCTATCCACTGAGCCAAACCGGTTTCAGCTGGGAATATTTTTTTATTACTTGTCTTCCTTTTGTTAAATTGTATGAGTTTCTTATATATTTTGGATATTAATGCTTTATCATATGTACCATTGCCAAATATGTTCTCCCATACAGTGGCCTCCCTTTTCTTTTCTTTTTTAAAAAATATATTTTATTGCCAAAACTGGTTTGGCTCAGTGGATAGAGGGTCAGCCTGCGGACTGAAAGGTTCCAGGTTCGATTCCGGTCAAGGGCATGTACCTGAGTTGCGGGCACATCCCCAGTGGGAGATGTGCAAGAGGCAACTGATCAAGGATTCTCTTTCATCGATGACTCTATCTCTCTCCCTTCCTCTCTGTAAAAAATCAATAAAATATGTTAATATATATATATAGGTAATTGATTTTTTACAGAGAGGAAGGGAGATGGATAAAGAAAAACATCGATCAGCTGTCTCCTGCACACCCCCTACTGGGGATGTGCCCGCAACCAAAGTACATGCCCTTGACCAGAATTGAACCTGGGACCTTTCAGTCCGCAGGCTGAAGCTCTATCCACTGAGCCAAACCAGTTTTTGCCAGTAGGCTCCCTTTTCATTTTGTTGATGGCCTCTTTTGCTGTGCAGAAACTTTTTAAGTAGTTCCATTTGTTCATTTTCTCTTTAGTTTTTTCCCTTGCCCTAGGAGATATATCTGCAAACATATTACTAAGGAGATGTCTGGGATTTTGCGGCCTTTTTTTTTCTAGGATTTTTATGGTTTCATGGCTTATGTTTAAGATTTTTATCCATTTTGAGTTTATTCTTGTGTATAGTGTAAGTTAGAGGTTTAGTTTCTTTCTTTCTTTTTTTTTTTTTTTTCATGTATCTGTTCAATTTTCCCAATACCATTTATTGAAGAGACTGTCTTGATTCCACCTGTATGCCCTTACCTCCTTTGTCAAATATTAATTGAGTATATGTCTCAGGTGGATTTCTAGGGTCTCTGTTTTGTTCCATTGGTTATATGCTTGTTCTTGTGCCAGTACCACGCTGTTTTGATTACAGTGGCTTTGCAGTATAACTTGTTATCTGGTATTGTGATCACTCCAACTTTGTTCTTTTTTCTCAAGATTGCTGAGGCGTATTCGAGGTCTTTTTTGTTTTCATATACATTTTTTTAGTATTTGTTCTTTTTTAAAAATATATATATATATTTTATTAACTTTTTACAGAGAGGAAGGGAGAGGGATAGAAAGCTAGAAACATCGATGAGAGAGAAACATCGACCAGCCGCCTCCTGCACACCCCCTATTCGAGACATGCCCGCAACCAATGTAAATGCCCTTGACTGGAATCGAACCCGGGACCTTTCAGTCCACAGACTGACGCTCTATTCACTGAGCCAAACCAGTTTCAGCAAGTATTTGTTCTTGATCTGTGAAATATACTATTGGTATTTCAATAGGAATTGCATTGAATGTATAGATTGCTTTGGGTAGTATGAACATTTTAATGATGTTAATTCTACCAACCCATGAACACAGTATATTTTTTCACTTGCTTCTCTCTTCCTCTCTCTCTCTCTCTCTCTCTCTCTCTCTCTCTCTCTCTCTCTCTCTCTCTCCTTTCTCTCTTTTTCAACATCCTGTGATTTTCTGAGTTCAAGTCTTTTACCTTTTTGGTTAAGTTTATTCCTAAGAATCTTAATTTTTTATTCTTTGTCAGGGCACATGCCCAGGTTTCAAGACACATCTTCATTTAGGGGGCATGCAGGAGGCATCTCTCATGAATATTTCTCTCCCTCTCCTTTCCTCTGTCTCTAAAATCAATAAAAACAAATCTTATAAAAAGTATGACAGGGCCAAAACCGATTTGGCTCAGTGGATAGAGCATTGGCCTTCGGACTCAAGGGTCCCAGGTTTGATTCTGGTCAAGGGCATGCACCTTGGTTGCAGGCACATCCCCAGTAGGGGGTGTGCATGAGGCAGCTGATCGATGTTTCTAACTCTCTAACCCTCTCCCTTCCTCTCTGTAAAAAAAAAAAATAATCAATAATATATATATATATATATATATATATATATATATATATATATATATATTTAAAAGTATGACAGAAATGTGAGGCAATATGGAGAATAAGTATTTACACATTTTATTTGCATCTCGAAAACAAACACAAAGAAAACGCACGTTTGCATTTCCATTTAACAGAACACTGAGAGCCAGATACAGTCCTAAAGTCATGTAGCTAGACTGAACACTTGCTGGAACTTCAAATCTTAATCTCTTTTTATTGCGCATTATGTAGCAGCAAGAGAGAGCTGAGAACATTTGATGCGGTTATTCAAGGGCCAGTTCTGGGATCTTTGAACATGAGAGGAGGTGACATCTGAGTAGAGCTGAGTGGGGCCCAGTGGCAGGGAGTGGCTGCACGTACACTGAAGGTTTGGTAATTCCTGCTTAAGGAGAGAAAAGAAAGCCCTTGGTCTGCCAACCCAGCTTTTCCCTTTGACCATACTGGGCAGGAAGAATGAGACAGGTAAGAGTGTCAGAAAGGCTGATTAAAAAAAAAAAAAAAAATATATATATATATATATATATATATATATATATATATATATATATATATATATATATATATATAAATTGATTTTTTACAGAGAGGAGGGGAGGATAGAGTTAGAAACATTATGGGAGAGAAACAGACAGACCAGCTGCCTCCTGCACACCCCCACCAGGGATGTGCCCACAACCAATGTACATGCCCTTGCCCGAAATCGAACCTGGGACCTTTCACCAAACCGGCTTCGGCCCAGAGTTTTAAGGAAAGTGCAAAGTCCTGAGTGCGACTTATGGTTCTTCTTTACGTTTCGCTGTTAGTCTAGCCAAGATGGGTTAAACAAGCGACAGGACAGTGAGCAAGGAACCTAGAATACTGCTTCGCCGCCATTTGCTTCGTTCTCACAAAAGACTACCAGGACCAGAATGCCACGGTGCGCAGCACAAACGCTGTGAGATTCTATTCCGGGGAGCCGCCCGCGGCGCCACTCACCCTGGGAGACTACAAGGCCCAGCAGCACCTCGCGCGCCTGCGCCTGCGCCGCCCCGCCCCGCCCCGCCCCTCCGGCTGTGGGAAACCGGGCCCCGCGGCCGGCCCGCTCCCGGGAGCCTTCGCAGGGCAAGATGGCCGCGCCGGGAGCCACAGTGGAGGCGAGGGGCTGCTAGGGCCGCACTGCCCTGGCATTGAACGTCTTGGCTCTTCTCGCCCTGGCCATGGGGACCTCCCAGGAGAGCCTGTGACCTGCGGTCCCCCCGGCATTTCGCTGTTGTGACCTGGAGCTTCCCGGAGGGCTGCAGGGGAAGCGCCTCCTGGGCGCTCTGACGGAGGCGCGAGACCAGTGAAGCCGCCTCCCCGGTCCCGGCAGCGCGACCCTGAGCGCTCCATGCCTGCGGGCGCGGGGAGGCCCGGCCTCCCCCCGGGCCGCCGCCTCTGCTGGCTGCTCTGCGCGCTCGCCTTCCAGCTCTGGTGAGGAGGCTGAGCCGGGGCACGCGGAGGGCGCGGAGGTGGGATGGTCCCTGTCCTCGGGGATGGGGAGAGTGTCCCGCGGCCGCGCGGTGGAGGGGGCCCCGTGTGCCGGCTTCTGACCTTTGCCCCTTCCCCCCTGTCCCGCAGCCAGGCAGAGGCCCCGGTGCGGGAGGAGAAGCTGTCAGGTGGGTGCCGGTCTGGGAACCCCGGGCCCCGGGCCGGGGCTGTTGTTTGACATTCTCCCACGAACCAAGAGCGCAGGTGGGAAGGGTGGCACCGTGCAGAATGAGGGCATTCATTGTGCTGGGAGAGGGGTGGGCAGGACCCAGTGAGATTTGGGGCTGGCGCGTCTCCCCTTACAGTGAGCACCTCGAGTTTGCCGTGCTGGATGGTGGAAGAGTTCGTGGTGGCAGAGGAGTGCACCCCGTGTTCTAATTTCCAGGCTGTGAGTATCGGTTTCCGCCCTCTTTTTTCTCACATCTAATCAGTCCCTACATCTTTTTTTTTTTTTTTTTTTTATCTTGACCCATACGAAAGTTCATTTAACCAAAGTTCAATATGAGAATGTACAAGACTTGATTTTTGTATTGTAGACAGCAGGTGCTATCTAGAAAGACACGGGGAAGCAGTTGATTTCTCGGATGAACACGGCCATTCTTCATGCTCATGCCAAGGCTGCTAACATGACACCATTTCCTCGTATTACCGCCATCCCACAGGGACCTGGTGCCCGCCGTTGCCATATTCACACATTCGTCTATCACAAGATTCATAAAGGGGTCAAATCCTGGCAAAATTCCTTGGACATATCTGCTACCATTTATTTATTTATTTTTAATGCCCAAAGTATTGATTTTAGAGAGAAGAGGGGAGGGAGAGGGAGAGAGAGAGAAACCTTGATGTGACGTGGAACCTGAAATCTGGATATGTGCCCTGACTCAGAATGGAGGGAACCTGCCTCCTTTGAGTGTATGGGATGACGCCCCAACCCAGCTGCACTGGCCAGGCAGCCCCCGTTTAATTTCAACGATAACTTCTTGTCCATCAATATTTTTACCTCAGGGTGAGCTTTGCTCATGGGTGTCTACTCAGCGAGCTCAAAGATACTTCCAAATGAAACTTGGGGCTTCTCTCACGCTTCCACCACAGTCCCTAAGACTTACTGAGTATACCTTGGCATTTTCTTTTATCTTTTTCCTTGTATGTGTCCAAATGGGAACTCGTCTTCCCCTGTAAATGTGCCCTTTTCTTTCCAAGCTAATGGCAACTCTCAGTTAATCACCATGCCCTGTTCATGTTTAACCCAGTAGGCTCTGGGACCTGTCCACGCCTCTCCTAGATGGCTTTGGAAATGTTCTTTCTAACACATATTCCTAATCGTGCAGCCACCACCGCCACCATCCCCATGAGAACTCCTCATGAGCTACCCACCAGTTCTGCGCCATAGCACCCGGGCACCCGCCCCTTCTGGGTAGCAGCCTTCCTGCTTCTCCTCTTGCTCCTTCCTAACATGTGTGCTTCGGTCCTTCTCTCCTGGCAGAAAACCACCCCTGAGTGTGGTTCCACAGGGTACGTGGAGAAAATCACGTGCAGCTTATCTAAGAGGAATGGGTTCAAAAGGCAAGTGCTGTTTCTCTTCTCGAAACCTCCTGGATCACCTGCTTTGCTCCTGTGACCTTAGGCCGATAGTCCCGCCTCTTCCTCTTGGTTTGGAGACAGGATGGCACCTTGGAAAGAGGAAGGGATTTGGAGCCAAATTACTCCAAGTCCCAGTTCTACTCCTCAGTGCTACATGAATGGCCATACCTTCTCATTAGTAGGGTTGTTTAATACCTGCTCTGCTTACCTCACCAGAAAGTAAGCTGAATGGGGTATTGGAGTGGGGTTTATGCACTGTGAGCACAGTAGACTGGCCTTGGCTTTCTCTTTTCCCCTCGGATGTTGTATCTTGGTTAGGCTGAAGGAGAAGGGAGGCTAGAGGGAGAGGCTGTCTGGCCTTCCCTCAGACTAACTGTTTCTTCCTACCCTCAGCTGCCGCTCGGCTCTGATGGAACAACACTTATTCTGGAAATTTGAAGGGGCTGTCATGGGTGTAGCCTTGGTCTTCGCTTGCCTTGTCATCGTTCGTCAGCGACAGCTGGACAGAAGGGCTCTGGAAAAGGTCCGGAAGCAAATCGAATCCATTTAGTTACCTTCTACCCTCTTATCTGGGCCTTAAAGACCCTCCTCCGACAGAGAAAGCAGAATGGACTTATTTGTGCCCCTGGTATTTTGGGGACTGGGAGAACAAACAAACAAAAAATCCTTCCATCTTCCTTGTCTAGGTCATTGATGAGCAGAATAAAAAGAGTAAAATAAGTTTTCCTTTTCTATTCTGATTTGATTTTGGGCAGGAAGACATGAAGGCAGAGAGGGAAATGGGGTGGCAACTTTAGCCCCCACTTTACCAAGTACATATCTTCCCTCTCTTCTACTACTTATTTAAAACTCTGGGATAGCTGAAACCGGTTTGGCTCAGTGGATAGAGCGTCGGTCTGTGGACTGAAGGGTCCCAGGTTCGATTCCCATCAAGAGCATGTACATTGGCTGTGGGCACATCCCCAGTGGGGGGTGTGCAGGAGGCAGTTGATCAATGTTTCTAGCTCTCTATCCCTCTCCCTTCCTCTCTGTAAAAAAATCAATAAAAATATATTTAAAATAAAATAAAACTCTGGGATAAAATTTCAGCAAAACAAAGTTTATTTCTCAGCAAAAACCTCTATTTCCCTCAACCCTACTTCCAAAGAAGAAATAAAATCACAGGTACATAATAAAAGTATTTGTGGTGCCACCTCACCTAGACAGACTGGGCCTCAGGGTACAGACATCGAGGGCATCCTGATGTAACCCTGAGGCCAAAGAGCCCTGAGTGGGAATCCCAGGGGAAAGCAGAGCCGGGAGCCCTGGGTTCCTTATGGGACTGAGCGGTGGGCTAGGAAGTGCTCCAGCTCACATCTCATCTGCATGAAGCACGGTTCTGACGAGCCCACTAGGGCCTGTCTTCCCTCCTGTCTTCTCAAGCAGGGTCCTCGCGGAGCCATTCACACTCTTGACCCCAGGTGGCCCCCCCAATCTGGACTCTACCTCTGGGGTCTCCCAATTTTTTGTTACGTCCTTGTGAATCAGGATGTTTCTGGAAATCACTGTGGGGTGAAGAAAAAAGGGCAGTAGTAGAGTGCTCCCTTGGGTGGAAATTAGACAGGACAGGCCCTCCCTCCCTCCCCTCCCCGTCCCACCTCTTGACTACCTGGAGAACACCCCACTTGCTCACCAGGTCAAAAGTCCTGCCCTGCCCTGCCCTTGCCTCTCACCTCCATGAGGCTGGTAGTCCTCAGACCCAGCTTCTGGTAGACCTTGAAAGGGGCTGAAACTGGGCAGGATGATGAGAGCCAGGGAAAAAAGGAGGATCTAGGAGGAAGCAAGAAGACACTTGAGCTGTAGGGACAACAAAGTAAGGGAACAGGGCAGTTGGAGCTGTTGGGGATGGGAAGATTCGTATGGCTTGGGAGTAGGGGAATCAGGATGGAAGTGTGTCAGGAGGTGGTGCAAGTGGGAGACAGGAAATAGATTGGTGGTACCAGAACACAAGTGCTGGTCTGGGCAGCTTTGTTGGAAGTTTGAGTGATGAGCATCTGCAGCTGGCGGAGTTGAGTCACCAGGGACCTGGAAGAGGAGGAAGGATAAGTTAGATCTGGGGACGAGGGTCCAAGAATGGTCCCCTGTATGTTGCATACTCCCCCCGTCCCCCCAGTGTGCACACTATGCTTTCACTCACATGTTGTGCCTCTCCAGCTCCTGGATTTTTTTCTGTAGTTCCTGGTTCTGTACAGAACAGGCAGCCACCCTGAGGAGTGTGGGAAGGCAGGACAGGGTTCTTCCATTATTTGCGTCCCTGGCCTTACCTACCTTGGTCAGGAAGAGGGCCCAGGCCTGGCCCTCAAGCCGGAAATGGGAGTTCAAACATACTTGCTCTCTAGTCCCTCGATGTATTCTTTCTTCCTCCGCCGACTGTCCTGAGCTGACTGCTTGTTACGGATTTTCCTCCTGACCTTCTTGAGGACCCTCTCTTCTGTCTGGGGCCGCAAGGTGCATCAGTCCTGGGCCCTTCACTTACCCCCGTGCCCCAACTGCCCCCTGGGATCCTGGCTGTTCAGAGCCATGGTGGGCCGCTGGGTTGGGAAACCCTTTGGGGAAGCACGTTACCTTGGTGAGGGGCAGGTGAGAGGGCAGGGAGACCCCTTCCTGCCCCAGCAGATGCTTCTCCTCATCTGTCAGGAACAAGGTTTGACAGGGTAGCTGGTGGGGCACAAGAGATGAGAGCGGGAAGAGGGTCATCCCATTTTTAGCACCCAGGCTGCTCCCCCTGCACACCTTCTATAGTGAGTTTCCCATTTGCACTGAGGACTAACTAACCAGGAAATGAAGGGAGGCGGGGACTTTAATTCAGACAGGCTCTGGGTCATCCCCAAAGGGACCTCCTGAAGCTAAGCCGGAGAGAAGAGGTGGTTTGTCATACCCTCTGACCACAGTCTCTGATCCACATCTCCCCAAACGTTAGGGGTATTTGAAGAGAATGCGGAGTAGCTCATTAAAGAAGAGTTTGTTCACTCTTCAGCAGGCAAATGACTCACTATTAGCTATTAACTTCCTGTTTGGCAGCGTGTGTTATCCAGTCACCTGTCAATCCCAGCGAACTCCCTGGGGCAGTGGCCCATTCTCCCCTAGGGTCTGATCCCCACTTTTCCACTTAAAGCTCTGTCCCCTGTCAGACAAAGAACTAAGAAAAGAAGTACGGGGGGAGGGTAGATAGTGTCTGGTTAATGTGAGTCTATCCACTGAATGACTTGCCTTTCTAATTCCTTTTTGAAAAATGTTTGCTTTACTTTGTGACAGGAATTTGCATTTGCTTTTGCCCCCGATAGTCTTTGGCTTTTAACTAACCGTTCCTACTGTCTCTGCCTTTTTCTGATGCTCCCTTCTTGTGTCTGTGACTATTTGGTGGAAGTATATTAGAGGGCTGTCCCTCCCAACCCACCGAATCAAAAATCTGAGAGAATGAGGCCCAGAAGGTTTTATTTTAAAAAAAACAAAACCACCCCAGCTGGTTTGGCTCAGTGGATAGAGCATCAGCCTGCGGACTGAAGGGTCCTGGGTTTGATTCCAGGTTGCGTGCTTAATCCCCAGTAGGGGATGAGCCGGAGGCAGCCAATCAATGATTCTCTTCATCATTGATGTTTCTATTTCTACCTTTCCCTTCCTCTCTCAAATCAATAAAAATATTAAAAAATATATTAAGCAAAACCACAAATTCCCCCCAGTTTTGATACACAGTCAGATTTAGACGGATCAGACTTTTTAAGGTCCCTCAACCCAAGATTTTAAGATGCTTGGCTTGGCTGCTGGTCCAGCTTCAACCACGGGTTTGCAGGGAGGCTAGAACCTGCATGCAGCAAGTTCTTTCCAGGATACAGGCAGGTTCCCCTCCTCACCCCCTGGAGGAAGCAGACCAGGCGGCTTTGGGGAGTTATCTGACGTGTTACTCCCCCGTCACCCCATGCAGTGGGTGCCCGCTACGATTGTTTCAGTGGAAACATAAATGCAGTGATTTCTCTTACTCCCTGTGCCCAGTCACCAGTTCAGTTCCCCCAGGTGGCCTGTCCCATTTCTGCATCCTGACCCGAGACTGAGACAATAGCTGAGCAAACAATGAACACAAGGTTTGGCCTTTCTCTGGAGCCCTACCCCTGGATTCTCTCACCCCACCTTTTCCCCGAGTGAGTCGACATCACCTTACTCCCAAGTGTTTCTGTCTCACCCTTTCCTGTTTTTTGATTGCCCAAGTCTGCCCTGCCTGTATAGCTCAGCTGGTTTGAGCTTTGTCCTTCTACGCCAAAGGTTGCAGGTTCAATCTCCAGTCAGGGCACATACATATAAAAAAAAAAACAACAGGCATGCCGAAGCCGGTTTGGCTCAGTGGTAGAGCGTCGGTCTGTGGACTGAAAGGTCCCAGGTTCGATTCCGGTCAAGGGCATGTACGTTGGTTGTGGGCACATCCCCGGTAGGGGGTGTGCAAGAGGCAGCTGGTCGATGTTTCGCTCTCATCAACGTTTCTAGCTCTCTATCTCTCCCTTTCTCTCTGTTAAAAATCAATAAAATATATATTTTTTAAAAATCAATAAAATATATTTTTTAAAAAATTAAAAAAAACAGGCATGAAAGCATAAATAAGTGGAACAAATCGATGTTTCTCTCTCAAATCAATACAAATAAAAATTAATTAATTGCCATGTCTCCCTGGCTTTCAGGCCTGATGCCAAAAACATTAGGGCAAAGACAGAGTTCGGCATCAGTTTCCCCCTCCCTTACCCCAAAGTGTGCGGGTATGTATGTATGTGTGTGTGTGTATCAGACCAACCCCAAGACTCACCAGGGCCGCGGGAAGCATTGGGTTTACCGTGGCTGCTCTGGGCAGGATGTGGGCATGAGCATCAAGGGGCACGTTGCTGACCATGCAGGCATCAGGCATCACAAAAGGTGGGCTCCACTGATCTAAGGAAAACACAGTGACTGGAAGGCACACCGTGCTGCCAGGAGGGCCTGGGTAGTGGCACAGATTGGGGAAATGCCCTTAACCCGGGGCTAGGGCTGGATCTCAAGGGCCATTGTCCCCTTCCCACGTCCCACTACTGACCTAGCTGAATGGAGATGAACCCTACAGCCGGCCCAGCTTCCTCCTGCAGCTTCTCCAGGGCCTCTGCCTCATAAACAACTTCATAGAGGGCAGGAGAACTGGGTGCCCTGGGGACAGGGGGACTGTCTTGACGACCAGGGTGCTCAGAGGTCCCACTGTCACTGCCAGGAGATGCTTCTGAGCGGTACACTTCATTGGGATCGATGAAGAGCTTCGGGAAGTCTTCAGGCTCACTCTCTTGAAGGCCCTACGTCAGAAGAGGGCATGTAGGTACACGGGGAAGAATTCTGGAAGTCCTTCCTGACATCACACCGAGATCCTTCATGCTTCAGTTTCAGTCCTTTCTGTCCTTGGACATGGGGATGGTTACAGTTTATGTCTATTCTAGGGGGACTGTCTCAGAGACCACTTTGCAAGTGAGGGCTGAAGTCTCTTGGGCTTCTTCTCAGAGTTGTATTTCAAACCACCCCGCCACCCCACTTCCTTTCAACATACTCACACAGGCATGGGCCCCCCTGGACTCCCAGCCTTGCGGCCCCTGTTCTTGCAGCATAGTCCCTGGGTCTTCTGGAGGTGGACAGTGGAGTCCCAGCTCCAGGAAGGATCCCGTTAAGACATTATCTGGGG